AATAATATAATTTGATATCTGGACTAAGATATAGACACAAAACTTTTATTACATGTAATAAACTAAAAAATTTTTATATGTCCCTAAAGAGACATGATCAAGTAAATCATGATGCATTCTTATTGTGAAAGGTATACTTTAATTAAAATGATGCTTTTCAAGAGATAAAATATATTTAAAACATCATAAAATATCTTTTATATGACATTAAGCATAAAAAGAACACAACATTATATATCATAAATAATCTAAAATATGTAATAATATGTGCATAAAAATAGAAAATAAGACAAAGATGTTCTACAGTTATTATCTTTAGCATGATATTGTGGATTATTTATTTTAACTTTACTTGGAATAGCTCTGAATTTTTTCTATAAATTACTTTTATAATAAATAATTAGAAAAAATTAGTTCAGATCACATTAGATAATGATTAACACATATACTCACATTTTTATATTTTAAATTATTTTATGGTGTATTTAGGTTGAGTAGGGATTAAATATATGAATAATGTATATTGATAATACATTTAAAATATTAACTCATTTAATTCTCAAAATAACTCTACTGAAGCAGGTTTCATTATCATGCCTACTATACGTGGGAAAAGAGACAGGGGTCACCATGTAAGTAAGTAACCTATCCAAGGACACACATTCTTGGTAATAGAGCTGGGATTCTAGAACATATGCTATAAGCTTCTGTGTAATACTCCCACTTATAATGACTATATAAATTTTATCTGCTTTTTAAAATTTGTTGGTTGTGGAGATTTAAAAATGGCAACAGAGTAAGTGGATGCTGCATGGACATGCTCCCAGGAACAAACTGAAATTACAACTAAAATACAGAAAAATTCCCTGAATAATCAATGGAAGACTAGCAGGAGAGAGCCCTGATATCAAAAGACTGAAAGTGGAGACTGCATAGAGACTGGAAGGAGGCGTGGAGGCACAAAAGGGCTGGCCAGGCACCCATAGACAGCAGCTGAAATTCTGGAGAGATATATTAGCTGTGGGAGGTTGCCACTGAGAACTCTGGGATGTAATCTCCAAGGTGGGCCCCCCAGCAGAAAGCACCAGAACTGAGAAGGGTACCCACATAACATCTGGCTGTGAGAAGCAAAGGGGTTGCTATCTGCCAAGGAGTGATGGCTGAAAATTCAGGTACCCTCTTAAAGGACCAATGCACAAAATCCCCTGAGGAGCCACTCACCTTGTCCTCTGGCAGAAGGAGGGCAGAGTGGACTGGAACTGTGTGAGCATAAGCCAGTACTGGGGACTTGAGGGTTAGAGCTCAGAAGGCAGGCTCCCCCAGTTTCCTGTGATGAGTCATTCCCTCATGCATTGGAGGACATCTTTCTCACACAGACATTTGCTTTGCCTGGGGGGAAGGCAGTTGCCCCAACCTATTGGAAAACTCCTTGCCCTGAGGCCACTTAAGAGACTAAAAATAACTGTTAGCCTCCAGGCAGAAGCAACTGCCCCATCCTGTTGGGAAAAAAAATCTCTCACCACACCTGAAGACACTTATCTGGGGCCAATTTTGTCAGAATCCTATCAGTTTGTAGGCAGAGGCAGTCTCTGGAGGCTTTGAGTTTTTGTCTGATTTAATTAGTCAGAAACAGCATTTGACACTATCCTGCAGCAGAGATTGAGAGACATAGAGGATCTACCTAATACAGTGGGGCCTTGACTTACGAGTGTCCGGACTAATGAGTTTTCTGAGATACCAGCTGTCTCTCGGCTGATTTTTTGCATTGAGTTGATAGAGTAATTTGGTTAACGAGCTCCTTAATGAGCTCCTTAATGAGCTCGGTCTCAGAACGAATTAAACTCGTAAGTCAAGGCCCCACTGTACATAGTCACAAACCCAAACAGACAGCCAAAATAAGGAGGCAAAGAAACAACCCCCAAATGAAAGAACAAGAGAATTTCACAGAAGAAGAAATAAGAAATTTATCTGAAACAGAGTTTAGAGTAATGATGGTAAAGATGCTCAACAGCATGAGAAAAGATATAGTAACTATGAAAAAAAGAGCAGTTGGAAATAAAGAATGATATAACAGAAATAAAAAGCACATTGGAAGGAATACACAGCAGATCAGGGGAAGCTCAGGATCAAATCTGAATTAGAAGACAGGCTTAATAAAAATCACTCAATCAGAGAACCAAAAAGAAAAAAAAATACAATTAAAATACAGCAGGACAGCTTAAGGGAGCTGTGGGACAACATGAAACAACAATATTAGAATAGCAAGTGTGCAAGAAGAGGCAGAAAAGGAGAAAGGGATAGAGAACATGTTTGAAGAAATAATGGTAAAAAACCTCCTTAACTTGGTAAAGGAAAAAGTTACACAAGTCCAGGAGGCACAGAGAACCCCAAGCAAGAAGAACCCTGAACTGACCCACTCTCAGACACATCATAATTAAAATGCCAAAAATTAAAGACAAAGAGAGAATCTTAAATGCAATAAGAGAAAAGCAAACTGTTACCTACAAAGGATGTCCCATAAGGCTGACACCTGATTTCTCATCAGAAATTCTACAGGCCAGAAGGGAATGGGATGGAGTACTTAAGGTAATGGAAAACAAGGATCTGAAACTAAGATTACTATGTCCAGCAAGGCTATAATTCAAAATAGATACTGAAATAAAAAGCTTCCCAGACCCCCCCCAAAAAAAAAATGGCTAAAGGAGTATATCACTACCAAGTCAGCATTACAAAAAATGCTAAAAGGACAGCAATAATGAGAAGAAACAGAGAGAGAGAAACCTAGCCATACAGAATTAAAATGGTAATAAATAAGTACCTATCAGTAATAACCCTAAATGTAAATGGACTAAGTGCTCTAATAAAAAGGTATAGGGTAGCTGAATGGGTACAAAAACATGACCCAACTATATGCTATCTCTAAGAGATCTACCTCAAAACAAAAGACACACACAGGATGAGAGTGGAGGGATGGGAAAATATTTTCTATGCTAATGGAAAAAAAAGCTGAAGTAGCAATACTCATATCTGACAAAATAGACTTCAAAATGAAGGCCATCATAAGAGACAGCAAAGGCCACTACATAATACTACAGGGATCAATCCAACAAGAGGATATAACCCTGGTAAACATGTATGCACCCAATTTAGCAGCACCTAAATATATAAAAAACTTCTAGAGGACTTTAAGGGAGAGATTAACAACAACACAGTCATAGTTGAGGACTTTAACACCCACTGACTTCACTGGACAGAACTTCCAGATAAAAACTTAGTAAGGAAACAGTGACTCTAAAGGACACACTGGATCAGATGATTTTAAGTGACATTTATAGAACATTTCACCCCAACACAGCAAAATATACATTCTTCTCAAGTGCACATGGGTCATTCACAAAGATAGACCACATGTTAGGACACAGAAGGAATCTCTACAAGTTCAAGAAGATTGAAATCATATCAAGTGTCTTCTCAGATCACAGTGGAATGAAATTAGAAATCTACTACAGTAAAAACACCTAAAAGTATTCAAACACATGGAGGCTAAATAGCATGTTATTAAACAATGAATGGGTTACCAAACAATGAATAGGGTCTTTGCAGATGTAATCAAATTAAGATGAGGTTATTAGAGTGGGTCCTATTCCAATATGACTTATATCTTTATAAGAAGAGGAGTAAAACACTATGAGAGGGGAAAGACACACAGAGAGAAGATGGCCATGTGATAATGGAGGGGGAGTACATAGTGATGCTCCTACAAACCAAGGAATGCCCAGGATTGCTGGCAAGCATCATAAGCCAGAAGCAGCAGGAACGATTCTCACCTGCAGGCTTCAGAGGGAGCACGGCTCCGCTGATATCTTGGTTTCAGATTTCTAGGCTCCGGAACCGTAAGACAATAAATTTCTGTGTTAAGTAAGCCTCCGAGTTTGTGGGACTTTGTTACTGCAGCCCTGGGATACTAATGCAATTAAGATAGAGGTAAACAATGAAAATAAATGTACTACTATTCAAAGCATGAGAAAAAGAGTGCTTTTATACTTCAATGAGGCCCTTGGAAATATGGATGATTTTCTTTTTTGACATAAATACTACAACTGAGTACAAATAATCACCTGATTATGGTAAGCACTTATTAGTTTACAAAGCACTTTTCATTACCATGTTTTCTGAGATGCTGAATATTACATGGCATGTCACATGCAGTAAGTGTTATCACATGCTTTGGTATGTGAGCATAGTCCTGTGGAAATTTTAATATCCAGTAACAGATACATATATTCAAGCCATTTATTCTTTTTAGAAACTCCAAATTTGTAAGCAAAAGAGCCAGAATTACATTCTGACAGCTGATTCAGAGCTTGGTATTTGATCTATTATGCCTCAAAAGCTGATGTTCTCTAAGGATACATTTCATCTTCTTCATTCCTATCAACTTTAAAAAGGTCAAAAGATAATGTGTTTATCTAACTGTATTCAAGAAAGTCTGTGTGATTAAATGATATGTTTTGTAGCATGTTTATAAAAAGAAAGTATTTTTTTTCTATTAGAACGTATCAATAAGTCATCAGTCCTAGAATTCTGGTGCTGAATTTTGAATCTTACATTTCAACATTTCCTTTATATTTTTATATTCCACCCAATGCATTTTGTTTTCTAAGTATTCATACCATTTCCTAGCTTTAATATTTGCCAGAAGTAAATGTCACACCAAAATTTTAGGATGCAGCTAGAGCAAATAGCAAGAGTGGCTAGAGGCCCTACGACAAAATCATGATCATTGCCGCTGTGAGAGGTATCTGTGCAAAAAAATTTTCTGTGTCTCCCAACTAAAATTTCTTGAGCCTATTAATTTCCATGTGGAGGGTATTTAGGAAGGTTGACCTACTTATGAATATTCATTTAACACAAAATTTAAACTAGTGGAAATTTTTATTTTCTACTTAAGGAAGATAATTATTTCCTTTAGATAGTGTGATTTCTTGTCTAGAAAGTTGTATTCATTTATTGTAGATTCTAGATATAAAAATGTTATGCAATGCAGGGGAAGTGCAAAGGAAAGAAATGAATCTTTGCTTTATTGTTTGAATTTATGCTGTTACACCATCATCCCCCTGCGTCAACACTGCTCACTTCAAATACACAAAGTGAGGTGCTGCAGAGCTCCTCTGTGGCTGTGTGCTATATATGTGGCAGTACACGTGACAAAACTTCAGCTGCCTAGACAAGTACTGCAATTCAGAGGGTTTATGGATGACTTCCCTGTGAACTACTAAACAATTAACCATGCTCAGATCACGAAAGAATGTGATTCAAACTACCTATATTTACATGCTAAGAAAGTGCATATTCCATGGAAATTTTCTTATAAAAATATTGTTTCTGCTCAGATCTATTTATTATGAGTTGAAGTATAAAAATAGAATGTTGAAACCTAGTTATTGGTATATTGCTATTTTTCACTATGTAAAATTGTATTTAAACAAATGACTTACAGTTTCCAGGAGTGCACAATTAGCTTTCATTGAGAGACAGAGCCATGTAATGTTGTAGGGCAAGGATCCCAGAATCAGATTACATTCATCTAATTTCTGGATCCCTGTGTATTCTTGGGCAATAACTTCACATATCTGTGCCTCAGTATTTTTGTTTTTAAACAGGGATAAGGATAATTGCTATATAATAATTGCTTGTGATAAAGAAGTTAATGTATGTAAAGAATACTGAAATATGGCAGATTAACTAGCACTGTATCTATGGCCTATTGTGAAAATATATTCTGGAATCTATCAAAGTAATGTTGAACTAAGTATCAGAAAAGAAAATTATAATAACCAAAGAAAAAATAAAACAAAATAAAATTTGTTGGCTGTTATTTGTTGAATATTAAAATAGGCTTTGCTTAAAAGTAAAATTAGCATTTATAAAACCAAACAAACCAAAATAAAATTATTCTTTTATTTTCATTTGTAGTATCCAAACAAAACAAGTGATTTTGTTTTAATAAAGTTGAGGATTAAGGCCTCTCAAGAAGCACTTTCTAAAAATGTATGACTGTGTCAATCAGTCTTAAAATGTTTACAGGCCTATATAATTTTTTAGATTTCCTTAAAATGATGCAGGATGTTAATTACTATAGCCAGTATTTTACAGAGTTTATGGAAGAATTTTTTTTTTTTTACATTGGCCTCATAACATTTTTTATCACAGACACACTGTTTAGAAAGACTGCTGAGCTTGAGTTATAAACGTAAGGTCCTTTTTCTTTTCACAGGTGGTTCAGTTTAATCACTCAGCATGGATAACTATGTGGTAAAATGAATCTCTCCTTTGTGCATATTACTAAGCATTATTGTTGGGAGATATGTGGATTTGTTACTTTGCAGCTGCCAGATATGCCTTAGTATATACTTCTTAAACATAAGTTTGCAAAAACATGAATAAACAGAGTTTTTGATTACAATAGCTATCTCTCTCACAAGGAAGTGGCCTGTAATTTAGTAAGTTTTCAACTGAAAATATAAAGAAACTATGCTAACTAAGACCTATACCAGAGCAGATGTTCTGCTTCTTGGTTTCAAAAAGTTTACATAACTTGAATGATGTACAGTTTTCAATAAATGTATTTCCATAAACATAGATTATTTTCATTCTTGACAGCAAACATTTACGATGTCTTGATATAGGTTTCAAATTCTGCTAGAAATTTAATGCAATATACAATCCCTGTACTCAAAATTGCATATGAGACAGGATAAATAATGGACAAAATCAAATGGACCCATGAATAGGTAGGAAAATGACCAACAGCCAAACAGACAAATAGCATAGTAATTTGGAATACTCTTTTAACAAGAATAACTTTCTTATCCTTGCAAATTTTGTAATTGCACAGTTTTAGAATTTATCTAAATAAGAATAAAATATGTAAAACATGCCAAAATGAATAATAATAACAGAAGGAGTCTTTACTGTATGAGGAGAAGGGCAATAGATTTTGAATCCACTATTGTATTGATCCATGGTTAATTACTGGCGTTTTGAGGATTTATAATACATATAGGTTTTAGAAGAAAGGTAGCATAAAAACAATTGCTTCAAAAAATAAAGAACACTTAAGAAGGAATAATGCTTCAAGGAAAAATTTACCAACAGGACTTAAATTGATCTGTTTATAGGCAAACATTTTAAGAATTATATAATTATTGAGAGTAAACAAAGAATTTAGAAAAAGCCAATTTTGGAAGCAGTCATATAAAGGTTGAAATTGTAATGATTAAAATAAGCTTGTGTGTGTAGAAAATGCATACAGAAGTCAAATTTGAGAAATAGCGAGAGTGATCAAATTATAAAGATTCTTGTAAGTTAACATAATGTCCTGAGTGTCATTAATGTTGTCCCCTCATTTTATGGCTGAATTATACTGTACTGTATATATAAATATACATATTTATATACAGAGTGAGAAGTTGGCAGAAACAGCATGAAAGCATGGACCCCACATGCATGAGTACAACCCTTCAAGCTGGTGGGAGCAGTGTTAGGGTTTGGGGCATGTTTTCCTGGCATGATTTGGGCCCTTTAATCCATGTGGAACAACGTCTGAATAGCACAACACACCTAAGTATCATCGCTGATCAAGTTCATCCTATTTTTAATTTTTTGAGGAAACTCCATATTGTTTTCCTTAATAGCTGCATCAATTTACATTTCAGCCAACAGTTTACAAGGGTTCCCTTTTCTCCACACCCTCAACAGCATTTGTTATTGCTTGTCTTTTTAAAAATAACCATCCTAGGTCAAATGTAAAGTGATATTTCACTGTGGTTTTGATTTTTATTTCGCTCATGATTAGTGCTGTTGAGCACTGTTTCATGTACCAGTCGGCCACTTACATATCTTTTTTAGAAAAATGTTTATTCTGCTCTTTTGAATATATTTATCCAGGTTATTTATGTGTCTTTTTTATTTTTATTTTTGCTATTGAATTGTCTGAGTTTCTTATATATTTTAGATATTAACTCCTTTTCAGATATATGAATTGCAAATATTTTCTTCCATTTCATAGGTTGCTTTCTCATTTTTTTATTATTTCCTTTGTTGTGCAAAAGCTTTTTAGTTTATGGATGAACCTTGAAGGCATTATGCTAAGTGAATAAGTCAGGCACAGAAAGACAAATACTGTATGATATTGATTATAAGTTGGACTAATAGAAACAGAGTGAAATGGTAGTTGCTGAAGGCTGGGTGGGAAAATGGGAATGTATTTGTCCAACAGTGCAGACTTTTACTTATAAGATGCCTAAATTCTGAGGATCTAATATGCAACAGATAACTAGCTATATATATAAAATTAAGTGACTGGCCGACTGGCCAGTAGCTATGATGCTCACTGACCACCAGGGGGGAGACGCTCAATGCACAGACATGGAAACATGGAACAGACTGATGAATCTCAGAGGGAAGGGGAGAAGAGGGAGGACGGGAAGAGATTAATCAAAGATCTTATTTGCATACTAGAGGCCCAGTGCACAGATTCATGCACCGGTGGGGTCCCTCAACTGGGCCACAGGGATTGGGCCTAAACCAGCTCTCCAACATCCCCCCAAGGTGTCCCTGATTGTGAGATGGTGCAAGCCAAGCCCATGGACCCCACTGATGCACAAATCCTTTGCACCAGGCCTCTAGTAGTTAATAATAGTGTATTATATATTTGAAATTTTCTACAAGAGTAGATTTTAAAAGTTCCCAGCAAATTTTTTTAAAGGTAACTAGCACTTCACGGTGTTTCTCAGTGAAAGAGTATAGGCCCTCACACTGAAGGATCTCAGGTTCCATTCCTAATCAAGGGCATGTACCTGGGTTGTAGGTTTGATCCCTGGCCCTAGTCAGGGCACATGAGAGAGGTAACCAATTAATGTCTCTCTCTCACTCCCTCTCTCTCTTCATCCTAACGACCCTTCCACTTTATCTAAAAATCAATGGGAAAAATATCCTCAGGTGAGGATTATGGTAAAAACCAAAAAAAAAGTAAAATAAAAAAGGTAACTATTCAGTGATGGATGTGTCAATTTACTTAGTTATTATAATAATTTCAAATTTTGTAAGTCTACCAAATCACCATATTGTATACTTTAAATATACATTATTTTATTGATCAATTATACCTCAATTAAAAAGGAGATATATTCCTAGAAATGGGATTACTGGGTGAAATGGGAGTTCCATTTTTAGTTTTTTGAGGAAATGCCATACTTTTTCCAAAGTGGCTGCACCAGTCTTCATTCCCACCAGCAGTGTAAGAGGGTTTCTTTTTCTCCACATCCTCTCCAACACTTGTCATTTGTTGATTTGTTGATGATAGCCATTCTGACAGGTGTGAGATGGTACTGCATTCTGGTTTTGATTTGCATGTCTCAGATGATTAATGACTTTGAACATGTTTTCATATGTCTCTTGACTTTCTGTCTGTCTTCTTTCGAAACGTACCTAT